TTACGCAAACCTACTTTTTTATCAAGTCAAATATGGTTTTTCACTGAGAAATCTTTTCAAGTTTAGTAGTGGATACTAAGGCCTGGGGGGCATGACCATGCAGACACACAGAAATAAAAACAGCAGGTCAAAATTTAACCAATGGTAGCACTAACCAGGCTTAAACAATTGGCTCCTAAACAATTTCATCAATTTACAGTATGTACTTCATATATCAAAAAATTATCTTGAAATGAAGCTTTGTAGCCAACTAAAATTATGTTCAATATGTAGATCATGGTTATAAACAATAAGGGCAGAATGATTATTGGTTTATATTTATTAACTGTTTCATATAATTATAAAGAATGTGAACAAATAGTTTTACTAATGGTCTTCACTACGTTTCAAATTCTTTCGTAATGACTTACTCTTTGCCTGTTTTTCCTTGATTTTATATTTACTAATGTAATCCCTTGCATACGAAAATGAACGAACACGTAAATACAACTTAATTATATTTTCCAAACACAGCTTTTGTGTAGTATTTGTCTCGTCTGTCCCTGACTCCAAGACAATGTTTTCCCACAATGACTTTACGACCGGAGAGTTTAATGTTGATTCACAGATCTTTTCGGTTGGTATATTTCGTTAAACAAGTTCTCCCTCGCTGACTGTTTTACGAAAACAAATTTCGGCTTCCTCAACAATCCGCATTAGGTGATCACTTGGGGTTACGAGACCACCTCTGCTACGCTCTTGGATGAAACAGTTGTTTGTTTCCATGGACTTTAAATCCTGCAATAGTTCTTGTAGCCCATCGTCATGTTTGTTTTTAGTATTTCGAGCCTTTTGATTAAGTTTCAAAACCATATAGCCTGCCACATATGAAAGAGGACCTCGTTTTGAGGGGTCAATTTTCACGTCTTTCACAGCAGAAGTTGGTTCAGTTCTTGCTTGTTGACGTACTTGGCAAACCTTAAAATGTCCAGCTAAATGGTCTGGTATATCTATCATTATTATACTCACAGCGTTAGAGTTAGGACAGTTCAAATATTTGCTGGCATTAGGCAACAAACCATAAAATTCCATATGGAATTTGTCCTGATTCTTCTTGCGGCTGAATTTACTGTACAGTGGTAGCACATCGTCGAATAAAGTTTGGCTACAAGAAGCAGTCTTTATATCGTTGTTTATTTCTGACCCATATAAATCTTCTGCAATCAAACTCGTTTTAATTGTTTCTACAATCCCAGCGAGAGTGTCTAGTGTCATATCCGATTCAGTCGAAGGAAGCAATTCATCAGATTTTTTGCGATGCTTTGAATTCGTGTGCCGTGTCAAACCACCTTTGGATTTACAAATCTTGTTGCAACTAGGGCAAGGAAATGACTTTTTCCCTTCCATTTCTGTTATAGCATCAAAAAAATCGGCATCAATATCGTCTGTTTCTGCTTCTAATATCCCAAGTGATACATTTAGATTGAAATCATCATCGTTTGGCTCGTCTGTAAACCCCTTCAACGCCAACTCCTCTTCGCTAAAACTTTCAATTTCTCCATGCTCAGGACTCTTTACTGAAATGTCCTGAATTTCGCTAAAACCTAACTCCCTCTTTGCTTTCCATCTCGCTTTTTTTTTCGCTATTGTTGCTGGCATCGAAGAGATACTCTCAAATTTCAAACCTATATATTAAATTTCAGGTCATTATGACTTTCGAAGCTGGATACCGCTTATTGATCACGTGACAAAAATAAAAGTGGTTCCCGACATATATTTCTCATCCCTTTGAAGTTTGCCGGCTATCCTAACCATCCCCCCTCCAGTAACTGTGATTAAATGCAATGAAATTTCCAGAGAAACCTGAATTTTGGTATTTAAATGAACTTGAGTGCAGGCTGAAGACTGGCATTTCAAAAAATTATGCAAGCCCCAAGGGGAAAGCAATTTAAGATCTGGAAATGTTGTAAATGTCCCAGCAGATGTGACAAACACTGTAAACATGTTGCCAAGGTTGCCACAGGAAACAGCCACTATTAAGGTGCAGCTAAAGCGCAGACTGCAGTATAAAAGTTCTGCACTCTCTTTAAATGTACGACCCAATAATGTTCTTCAAGCAGCTGCTTGGCTAGCTAATACTAGTAGCTTGTATAAAGAACAAGGAATAACCTTTGATGAAAACTAGGAGTTCAATTTTAATCAGACTGTAAGTGATGAGAACAGTAATGAACCAACAAATGATAACATTGAGAAGCATCAAGGCTAATGGTAAATTGTCATTAGATGATGATGACTGGAGTGAGGATGGGACAGAAATACCTGCTGGTGTCACAGACAGTATGCTTACTGCAACAGATTTTGTCAATGACAGTAAACGACAGCAGATTTATAATTTTGCACCAGGAGAGGGATGTAAGCCACTCAGTCTATTCAGAGATCAATATTCTGAAAAGTTAGCTTACCCTGGCATATTTCTTGGTAATAAAAGGCCAGATAATAGATAAACAAAGGCAGGTTAGTGCTTACTATAGTGAGATTTGTAAATCAGAGTTAAGAAGGTCTGACCGCAGAGCATCCATGTGTATAGAGAATATATTCTTTTTAAAGCAAAGAAAATGCAAATGAAATACTGCTTGGCAAGTCTCAAATAGCTCTTCGAAAATGTAAGTTATTTAACTCGAACAATAACTGCTGGTCAATTAAAAACACAAGGTACAATTGAAAATTTAATCAGATTTGATGAAGGGTACAAATTCCTTCCTTAGAGCACTTAGGGGATCCCCACCATATTTTGAAAAGGCAAAGAAAGATATATTTGCTATGATAAGGCAACTAGGACCAACCTCATTGTTTTGCAGCTTTTCATCAGCTGAAACAAAATGGATACATTTGCTAAGAATACTTGGTAACTAGTTGACCACAAGGACTATACTGATGATTAATTAGAAAACTTAAATTGGGAAGAAAAATGTTGGTTAATTCAAAGTGACCCGGTCACCTGTGCAAGGCATTTTGATTATCCGTTCAACACATTTTTGCGAGAATTTCTAATGGATAATACTGCTCCTATTGGTAAATTAAAAGATTGGTTTTACCGTGTAGAATACCAACAACGAGGTTCACCACACATCCATATCTTAATATAGCTTAAAGATGCACCAGTATTTGGTGTTGACAAAGATGAAGATGTTGTATTTTATTGATAAAATAATAACATGTGAAAAGCCAGAATCTGATGAAAATCTGCTTGAACTCGTCAACAGGCAAACACATCGACATTCCCATACTTGGAGAAAAAGATCAAAAAATGTCTGTAGATTTAATTATCCACAACCACCAATGAGGATGACCCAGATACTATATCCCACTGGATGATACCATCCCTACAGAAATTTCGAAACAGGCCTTTGAACAGTGGAAAGATATCAAGAAAAAACTTAATAATATGAAAGAGGGTGAAGACATTTCATTTGATCAATTGTTAACTACTTTAGATATATCAGAAGCGAATTATATTCTTGCTATCAGATCATCAATTAATACTGCAACAATTTTTTTGAAGAGAAGCCCAAATGAATTAAAGGTCAACAATTACAACCCAGCTTGGTTAAAAGCATGGAGAGCTATAACATGAATATCCAGTTTGTGCTAGATGTTTATGCTTGTGCAATGTATGTTGTATCATACATTTCAAAAGCTCAAAAAGAAATAAGTGAACTACTGAGACGTGCATGTGCTGAGGCAAAAGGGGGAAATGCCACCATAAGACAGCCGGTGAGAGACATCGGGAATAAGTTTTTGAACAGTGTAGAAATTAGTGTGCAAGAGGCTCTTTACCTTGTATTACAAATTCCAATGAGAAACATCACTTCCAAATGAAAGAGTTGAATTACTAAAACCAATAAGCGAAATTGAGCACATGCCTGATGATTCTGAAGAAATCCACTCTGGTGGTTTATTAAAACAATATGTTGAGCGAGCAGCAAGCCTTCAAAATGTTACCCTTGCAGATTGGGCTGCATGGCATGACTCCTGTGGCAACTAACCATGTAAACAAAGATCTGCTAAACCACATATTGATCAACTTTCTCTTGAGTCCATGGATAATGATGCTAATGATTGTGAGATATGTGATGAACCTGAGAGTCGCATTGTGATTATGTCTGGTAAAAGCACCATAAAGAAGAGATCCAAAGCAAGGATTATAAGAAGTGTGTGGTTCAACAAAGATATTGACCCAGAAAAACATTATCGGGAACTGATCATGTTGTTTACACCATGGAGAGATGAAGAAAGGGATTTAATAAAAAACTTTTCCTCTTATAAAGACCACTATATGGCTTGTTTCGAGCAAATAACTGAACAGATGAAACAGTATGCAGTATGTGCAGAAAATCTTGACGAGATTCAACTTAATCTAAGAGAAAATGATGACGATTAATATGACACAGTAGTACCAGTTACACAAAATGCTGAGTTGCAAGATGAAAGTGAGGGAAATGTTGATTTACATCCTGATTTCTCAGGGCAATATGACATGTCTGGTGACCTAGGAATTCCATCAGCACAAGCGAATAATGAACCACTTGTATTCAACGAAATGCAAGATGATGAATACTGGAACACTTGTTCAGCAACTAAATAGAAAGCAAAAAGAATTTTTTGATCATACATTGCATCTAATAAAAACTTCAGACAAACCATTTTATGCTTTCCTCAGTGGAGGTGCAGGTGTTGGAAAATCACATCTCATAAAATCACTCTATCAAGCAGCTCTTAAATATTACAATTCACATGCTGGTGAAGACTTTCATCAAACTAAAATTATCTTGTTAGCTCCTACAGGGTAAGCTGCATATATCATCAAAGGTAACACAATACACAGTGCTCTGGCAATACCAGCTAGCCAATCACTTGCAAGTTACAAACCTTTAGATTCTAGCAGGCTAAACACATTAAGATGCCAACTTGGTGGTGTAAAATTGATATTTATTGATGAAATATCAATGGTCGGAAACAATATGTTTACTGTTCAAATTAATAACCGCTTAAAGGATATAAAGGAAAGCAAAGCAGACTTTGGTGGTGTAAGCATCATAGCACTAGGCAACCTGTTTCAACTGAAACCAGTAATGGATGGTTATATTTTCAAAGATATAAAGAGTTCTGATTACAGCATATTAGCACCAAATTTATGGAACAAGTATTTCAAAATGTTTGAGCTTGATGAAATTATGAGACAGAGAGAGGGCAGGCTTTTTGCTGAAATTTTGAATCGACTAAGAGAAGGTCGGGATACTGAAAATGACATCTTGAAAATTAAAGAAAGGTGTGTACAAAATGAAAGTGATTGTCCAGTAGAGGCTCCTCAATTATTCTTCCAAAACGCTTAGGTAGATGCATACAATACTCTAGCATATGAATCATCTCATGGTAATAAATATAGCATCACTGCACATGATAGTGTCATTGGAGCTTATTCTAATGAACTACAAGATAAAATTATGAGGCAAATCTCTCATGTTCCATTAAAAAATACAAAACAACTAGCAGCAAAGCTTCGTATTGCTGAGGGTGGTAGAACTGAACTTGCAATGAACATCAGGACAGATGATGGTTTGACAAATGGTGCTAGTAACATTGTTAAACTTGTTCAATTAACTAAACCAAACACTCCTTCTGGAATTATCTGGGTACTTTTTGACCCGGATGATGTGGGTAGAAAAATCCGGTAGGAGAACCGGGGTCTTTATGCTCAACAGGAAGTTCAGCCTACATGGACACCAATCAAACTAGTAACTACTCAATTTGCTGTTGGTAGAACTAAATTTGCTCAAGTAGTCCGAAAACAATTTCCACTGCGATCAGCTGCTGCAAAAACAGTTCATCGTTCCCAAGGGGATACACAAACACAAATTGTTGTCAATCTAAACACTAAACGAGCTGTTTCACATATTCACTATGTTGCACTAAGCCGAGTCACAACAATGGAAGGTTTATATGTTACTGAATTGGGTGAGACTAAAATTGCTGTTGATGACAATGTTGTTGCTGAAATGCAACAGTTACGAACTGAGAGAATTTTAAAGCTTTGTTTCACTCCACTTTACAAAATGGATGGATTCCAAGTTAAAAGTGTGTTATTTAAATACTCGATCACTTCATAAACATATTGGCGATGTTCGAAATGATTTCAACTTGTGTTGCAGTGACTTGGTAATATTTTTTGAAACAAGATTCCTGCCATGTGATCCTGATGATATGTACATCATTGATGGTTATCATGCATTTTTTAGAAATGACTCAACAAACATAGTTAACAGAAGACCATTTGGTGGTACAGCAGTATACAGTAAAGTACCATTTGTAGAAGGTTATCCTCGCATAAATAATATTTATGGTGTTGAGTTTACTGTCATCAAAGTATCTAGCCATGAAAGCTATACAGTAATTGGAGTATATCGTTCTCCGCAAGTTCCAATAAGACAATTGTGTATGGCATTAAATGGCATTTTAACTGAGTAAAGTACTGAAAACACAATAATCCTGGGCGATTTCAATGTTAACTGGATGATTGAAGAACAAAGACAGTCCTTGTACTGTCTCTTATTGAAGACAATCGCTACCAGCAGTTGATATCAATCAACCTGTACAACAGACTATAACACAATGATTGATCATGTGTATTCCAATGTACTTGATAGTGAGGTCACACTTTGTTCTGGTGTATTTGAGACATATTTTAGTGACCATAAAATTATCTGGATTAGCTTCAGCCATACGATTAAAGGGCTCCTAGCAAATATCGGTGTGTGTAAAAACAGAGCTGTACAACAGACTATTAACAACAAACATTCTTTTGCAACACATGTCAATGTTCACTCCATTTAAACTCAAATGTATCACCTTTTCCTCTTTTGACCTCCCGAATTTTTCTCTGCATTCCCCCACTAAAGCCTTCTTATATCCTAATTTTTCTTCTTTTAGAAATGGCTCAAAAATCATACACTACTGTATGCTCAATGCCAATGGTCCATAATGCCAATTGTCTGCCTGACACTGGTAGGGTAAAATAGCAGTTGGGAGTAGTTTATAGTGCTTGATTGCAGTTATGTATGTGAAGCCTGAGACAGCAGCATGTCTTGCAATTGGCATGTCAGGTCCATTGATATGGATAGTTGCTATAATATTCAGGCTGCATGTTTTCCTGTCTCTGAAAAATTAATGGCTCTCATTGTTTAACCCAGACAATTTAAAGACAATTTTACTCGTCAAGGGAAAGCTCTAGGAAATCTGTCCAGCACTGGGGTAATGTTGATTCTATCATTCCACCTTCTACCATTGATACACTTTAAAATGGTGACTGTCTAGATACAACTTCTACTACTCACCTGGATATCTTTTGGCAAACACCATCATGTTGAACTGGATAATTGATCGCAGTTACAGCTTACCTGCTATACAGTTCAATGTCTTCCTGCAATTACCACCCTTTTACAGTAACTGAATATTCTGTGACAGTTATCACTTAGTAATTTGTCACAGACATGTACTACTACCACTGTACTGTACATGTGCACTGGCTAGATAATTTGTATAGACTGTAGCCACATAGCCACCTAAAGTAATGGGTGTTCCTATGTACATAATAATTCTCTGTACAATTATTTATTACATTTTAATTTAGTTCACAATCTGCCATTTCTTTACCTAATTAAACATTCAAAACATTATTATTAGCCCTTTGTCTTTATTAGCCATTTGCCACTGCCAATTCCTCACAATGCTCTAATTGTAACAGCAAAATAACTTCTGTCATGCAAATAATGATGTTCATAAACCATAACCTTTGGAATTGTTTAATACCAATCATTGCATTTTTGTTAGTTTACTACAGCAACCCTGAAACATTTATGCGTTTTTTAAAGCGGCCATATGCACACTATGTGTGCCTATTTTTTAAAAAATGTGTAATTTATTTTATATTATAATTATCATATATTTAAATTTTTAAAAAAATATGTCAAAATATGCCTATTTTAGAAGCTTCATAGGTGGTATCATTTTAAAGAGCAGAACTTAAGCTTTCTAATGGTATAATATACAAGGGGTTGGTTGAAAAAATCGGAATTACGTTTAAAGTTGAAAATCATGAGAAGTGGTCAGTCATGTGTGACTGATCCTATGGGTAAGCGCCTGGTTGGCAAAGTGTTTTCATGTCTCACCTCTAACATCAAGATATATAAAATAGATTCTATTTATAACAAAACTTATTTGATAAATCAGTTAAGATGAGTCAGTTAATTGGCAAGACGTTCTTTTTAGTCATGGTGCTGACCCATCGAATATGTTTGATTCCTTTTACAGCAAAAGTCCTTCTATTGTAGATAAAAATATAAGGAAAGAGTGTAAAATTCAGTCTAAACCATTGGTAACTTCTGGCATTAAAAATCTATCTACAGGGTGTATGAAAAAAAAGAAAAAATAATTAAATGTCTCATCAATTTTCTTACCCAACAGGTGCACAAACATCATGCACAATTGAATAAAATCTAATGCATGGCACAAATTAATACTGCTCATCAATTCTCCCCCCGGCGTGATTCAAGGTTGTGCTTTTCACCAGTGGATTTCGATCAAGAACCTTTCTCAATGGATATAAGTCTGGACAATAAAAACTTTTCTTTGGCATGCACTATTGTGCAGAATTTTGCTGTTCTGTCAAATTCCCAGGAGACATTGTGAGAGTGAAGAAGTTCAAAGTCAGAGAAATCAACAGGAAACGAAAGGAGAGGAAAACATTATGAAAAAAGCCTTGGCAACGACAGAGTTTTCCAGCAAATCCCTGCAGTAAACCGAAAGCGCAGATAGTGATGAAGAAGGAACCTATGGTTTATATACCACCGCATTCTTTAAACGCTTGGGAAATCCCCATTCTGCAAACAATTGAAGGTGAACGGTTTAGATATCACAATGGAGATTGACACCAGAGCTTCATTGTCCATGGTCAATGAGGAAACATATCAATGTCTTTATCAACCAGACAAGAATCTCTCATTGCAAGAAAGTAAACTGGTGCTGCATACTTATATAGGGTACAGTATCTATCCAAAAGGAGCAGTTGAAGTTGTGCTAAACTACATTTTATACTATTAGCGATGATGAATTTGCAAGGTTATATGTCTCTAATATTGTATTTGATATGGATAGGTTGCCAAATATTGCTTTTAATTCTTATATCACTAATGATAACGAAGACCTGGATGACAATTTACCATCAATTACATCACGCTACTATAGGGTCAATGGCTTTGTTGAATTATTACAAAAAAATTTCAACCCAAAAGGAATAAAATTCGTTTTCTGTTATGCACTCTAATATTAGGAGTTTATCAAAAAATTTGCACTTATTAAAAGATTTGTTATCAATTACTGAATATGAATTTAGTATCATTGGAATAAGTGAAACAAAGCTTAATGATAATTCCGTACTAAACATAGATTTACCAAATTACAAATTTATAAAAGAAAATTCAAGCACACATGCTGGTGGTGTAGCAATGTATATTCACAAGGGCATTGACTTTAAAGTACGTTCTGACTTAAATCTGAATATGGAAGGGTGTGAATGTCTGTGGATTGAAATACTTAATATGTATGATGGAACAAAACCAGTAGTGGGTATTATCTATAGGCATCTGCACTCCTCGTTCACAGAGTTTCATGAAATCATGTCTCAACAAATTGAAAAACTTTCCAATGAGAAGAAACAACTTATCATAATGGGTGATATAAATATCGACTTAATTAAATATCAAAGTCACCAGCCCACTAGTGAATATATGGATATGTTATATTCTAATTTTTGTTTCCCTGTAATTACTCAACCCACTCGAATTACAGATTATACAAATACTTTAATTGATCATATATATACCAATGCATTAGACAAGTGTATTACTTCAGGAATATGCCTAACAGATATTTCAGATCATTTTCCAATTTTTTTAAACATTGAGGAAATGAATATTGAAAATAGGTCAAAGAAAAAAGTTATTAGAGATTTCAAGACTTTTCAAACTGAAAGTTTTTTTAATAACCTACAAGAAACAAATTGGGATACCCTAATTGATTCAAATCATGTTAATGAATCTTGTAAAAATTTCATTAGAATTTGTCTCCATTGTAAATAAACATGCACCGCTTAGGAAAATATCCAAGCAAGAACATAGATTATCTTATAAACTCTGGATCACTCCTGCCATATTTGTCTCTATTAAACATAAACAAAGTCTCTATTATTCTCATTTCTTAAAAGGTGGTCCAATTAAAAAACAGCAGTACAAAAAATATGCAAATAAGCTTACTCACTTGAAAGAGTTAAGTGAAAGGAATTATTTCAAAGAAAAAATTTCTGAACTTAAAAATAATGCGAAAGAAATGTGGAAAACCATAAATCAAATTACCAAGATTAGGAACAAACAAAGTACAAACCCACATAGTATCAACTATAATGGTATACAAGTGACCAATACTTTAGATATGGCTAATTGCTTTAATAATTATTTTAGTACTGTTGGCTCTAAATTAGCAAATAAAATACCACCTAGTTTAAAAACGTACAGTGATTACTTAGAACCAACAGTATCGCCATTAAATAGTTTTTTTATTAACCCAACAACTGAAAATGAAATTTTGTTACTCATAACAAAATTGAATAAGAGTAAAGCAAATGGTCCTTATGATATTCCAATAAATTTAATAAAACTAGCTAAAGAATATATTTCTAAACCTATTACAACAATATTCAACTATTCATTTGCAACAGGAGTTTTTCCTCAATGTTTAAAACTTTCCAAAATAATACCATTATACCAAGGCGATTCTCCATATATGGTGTCAAATTACAGACCTTTCTTTTTATTATCAACTTTTGCTAAAATTTTAGAAAAACTTGCATGTACAAGATTGCTAGATTTTATGAACCAAAAAGACCTATTTTATAAATACCAATTTGGCTTTAGAAAAAATTATTCTACAACTCTTGCTCTGATTGAAATTACAGATAATTTCCTACAATCTATCGACAATGGCCTTTATACCTGTGGCATTTTTTTAGACTTTTCCAAAGCTTTTGATACTGTCAATCATAAAATTCTTTTAGATA